TTCCCGAATCAATCCATTAATTGGCGAAGGCTTCCGTAAAGGCCGACTCTAACTCCTATTCCACGAAATCAATTTAAAGATTTCCTTGGTATAGTGTTTGCATGGTCGGCGTTCGATCCCCCGATGATCTAAGTAGGTTCTGTTCCGTTCCTTCCCTCAGACCAGCTCCTAATCTTATATATATATATATATCATATATATATATATATATATATATATATATATATATATATATAATATATATATTATATATATATATATATATATATATCCCTTCTAAGTGTTGAACTTTCTCATTGACTTATAGTGCTTTTTCCTCATATTGCACTCTTAGTCTATCTCTTATCCCTTCCATTGTGCACAATTCGATAACACCAGCTGTTCTTAGTCACACACATCCGGCCGAGCCAGCTGGCTGAAGCGACACCTATACTATCCGGCTCTCTCTTGACATTTGGGTGTATTGACAGAGGTAATTGACTGTATACATTGTTCAGAGGAGGACTGATGGTGTTAGTTACTTCGGGCTCACCATAGCCCGTGCTACTTGGAACTTCTTAATTGTTCCAGGTAGCGAATCTTTACCAACAACAGATGGTGTTGGAGGGGTCAGATCACCTTGCATATGCAGGTAACTAATGGTGAATTAGTGAACAGGTTACCTGGATCCAGTACCATACCAGAACCGAGAACGCACACAGCTACCTGACGAAGAGGGGGGTCGAACCAGTGTCTTCATGAACCCTGTGTAGAGTCTCTTCCAAGACCCTTAGATGACAACTTAGCTTTTCAAAGCACTATAAAGCTTAGCTAATATAGCTTATCCTAGCAAAGATAAGCCGTATCAACTAGGACTATTAGAGGATGGGGAGAGGTGATAGTGTTGAGTGATGGGGGGGGGGAGGGGGCTGAGATAATGGTCTTGGTAATGGTGAGATGATTGATGGGGTGTTTGTCAAGCACTTCGCCTGTTGTGGCTGGCGCTTTGTGATCGATAGTGATTGCTTGTTAGGGAGTGATATCACCCCCCCCCCACTCTTTTTTTGTTTTGTTTACCTGATTGGCGCTGTTTCTCGTTAGAACCACTCAGGATAGCAGTATATCACATTAGTGCCACTCAGGATAGCAGTATATCACAATAGTGCCACTCAGGATAGCAGTATATCACGTTAGTGCCACTCAGGATAGCAGTATATCACATTAGTGCCACTCAGGATAGCAGTATATCACAATAGTGCCACTCAGGATAGCAGTATATCACGTTAGTGCCACTCAGGATAGCAGTATATCACGTTAGTGCCACTCAGGATAGCAGTATATCACATTAGTGCCACTCAGGATAGCAGTATATCACATTAGTGCCACTCAGGATAGCAGTATATCACATTAGTGCCACTCAGGATAGCAGCATATCACATTAGTGCCACTCAGGATAGCAGTATATCACATTAGTGCCACTCAGGATAGCAGTATATCACATTAGTGCCACTCAGGATAGCAGTATATCACATTAGTGTCACTCAGGATAGCAGTATATCACATTAGTGCCACTCAGGATAGCAGCATATCACATTAGTGCCACTCAGGATAGCAATATCACGTTAGTGCCACTCAGGATAGCAATATCATGTTAGTGCCACTCAGGTTGGTTATAAATATCCTGATAGGGTCATTCTAATGGGTAAAATATCCTGTCAATGCCACTTAAGTTGATTATATATCATGGTAGTGCCACTCAGGTTGGCACTATATCCTCTTAGAGCCACCAAGGCTGGGTTGGACTGCATATACGTATACAGTTATAGTATTACTATCAAGGAAATCAGGAGGAACCATGAGGATTGAAACCTCTCTCTCTCTCTCTCTCTCTATCTCTCTCTCTCTCTCTCTCTCTCTCTCTCTCTCTCTCTCTCTCTCTCTCTCTCTCTCTCTCTCTCTCTTACACTCTCTCCTCTGCATTCACACTCCTCCATTCTCTCCTCTCCCTCGTCCTCATATATCAGAACCTTCCTAACCCAATCTACTCCCCTAACTAGGGGGGGGACCCCCATAACCACCTTTTTTCCCCTGGAAGATTGAGATGGAGGGGAAGGGAGGGAGGAGGGGGCGGTGCCCCCAGCACCGCAGGGATAGATTTTGCAATTCCAGAATTATCGAATTGAGATGTTTTCTCACTATTTTTTTTTTCCTCCATTTAGTTATGACTGATTGCATGAGCATCTCAGCTACCCTCAGAGCCTTCCAGCAGACAGACAGACAGACAGACAGGCAAATAGATTGATAAACAAATTGGTAATTTGTTTGGACAATTTGTTTACATAGAGACCGACAGACAAATTGATAACAGAGACATAAACAGACTAACAAGACAGCCTTTTATTTAATTCCTTGGAGAGGATGTAATGTAAATTGCATTGTTATGCTTTCCACCTTCGGTGTGTTTTTCAGGCCCCTTGGTTCGAATCCCACACAATATCACGTGGTCCATGAGTCTGTTGTGGTTGGTGCGTCTTACTCATAACACCTAGGGAAGGGCTCTTGGGCCGTTCGTATAGTGTTTGATCTATCGTTATGTTCTATTGGTCGTTAATTGTCTATTACAAACTGTACTTTTATGTTAGATTAAACTGTGTTGGTTTTCAGATTGAACTTTTGTTATCATAGATTGAACTTTTGTTATCATAGATTGAACTTTTGTTATCATAGATTGAACTTTTGTTATCATAGATTGAATTGATGTTGTCTGTGGTGGGTATGTGGGCCTGAGGGCCGCTCCAAGCAACAGCCTAGTGGACCAAATTCTCATAAGTCAAGCCTGGCCTCGGGCCGGGCTTGGGGGAGTAGAAGAACTCCCAGAACCCCATCAACCAGGTATTAACCAGGTCTTAAGATGAATGCAAAATATCCTCAACTTTAGATTTGTACATTCGTGCCTTTTCACGGGAATTTTCCGCTAAAGTTATATCAAATTGATAACCAAACCACACATTAAATCGTCATTGTGTCACCATCTGCTGATATATGGTGATATCTTCAGCCAAGTTATCGTGACTCATCGTCTACTTATAGCAAATTGCTCACAATAATTACAGCTTCAGGTAATAGAAGCACACGAAAATCTATAACAATAAAAGGCTGAAGCCCGTTTATTTATTGTGTATCCGGACTCTATTGATTGGAAGTCCGACAGACTTTCCCATGGCTGCTCAATTTGGTTCTAGAAGGGTTTAAGGCTATATCAGGCTTCAGGGCAAGACTTTCCTCAAAACGTTGGACTTGTGTATTGTTAAACCAGCTGTCAAAAGCTGTACATGTGACTCGGAGTGAGTTATGTTCGAACTATTTCTCGAACGGCGTTTTGCTCTCTTGATGTGTTCGAAT